GGGGGGGGGGACTTATGGATGACGTCAAAGCATGCTTTGTTCTGAATAACGAAGATGCAAAGATTCACAAATGAAATCGGAAAAGTCTGTTTAATCATTATTACTAATAGATAATCCTGAATGCCAGTAATTTTTTGAGTAATATTTTAGCAATGTATTCGCCATTTTTAAAAAATATTTATCAGCATCATGGATAAATTCGGTAAATACGCATCCACAATTTGAACATGAATTGGAATAAAATGCTTTTTATGTAAGCATAAAATATACAACTTTTTTTGTTTAAAGAGGTACTACTTGAAATAATAAAAAAAGCAAAAACTATTTATTTTTCTCTATTCAAGTGAATATGTCTGTATATATGCATTTACATATAAAAACGTATGTATATATCTCTGTACGTATGTGAGAATAGCATAGAATGCATACAAATAAAAACATTCAAAAGTTTAAGTACAAAAAATATTTAAACAGGAGAAAATTTGCCTTTTTTTTTACGAAGTGAACCCATTTTTCCACGGAAATGATAACGCACTTGCAAGCGAAGTCGCTCTGGTAGGATTTGAATGACTTACCGATGGATTCTTCCATAGACCCGAAATTGGAAGAAGAATCGCAAACAAATTGTACACGGCACACAACACAACAAGGGGCATTTGCAAGTTATCAACCGTGTTGATAAAGCACTCCGTGAGTGAACATACCACAATCATTGTGAAGGTATACCACATTGGCCCCGAAAGCGGAATATCCTCTAGTGCCAAAATAATACACCAAAAGATAATTCCGCATAATAATCCACCGATGGTGCCAGTTGTGGTTTTGTGAACTATCGAAACATTCGCGCGCTCAGTGAAAAATTTATTTTTTAAGTATCGCCCGAGTACACGGCGAGAGCCCAACATAACACTACTCCCAATAATAGCCGCACTCGCATCCACAATCCCTAAGGAAAGAATCCCGGGGATGATATTGATGGAGAGCTCCATAATAGCCGGAATCGGCATCGCCGTTGCCTGATGATGATGACGATAATAAATAACCTGGGAAACACAGAATCCAAATAATAAATAAATATGGGTACGAACAATACCCTTGATATCATCTCGCTCATCAATATAGTCTGAAATAAAACGCGTAATCACCTCCGTCCCGTAAACATTATGGCATCGCGCCACCTCGATAGTCACGAGCAAACTGATGGCGGTCGAAGTCGCCAACACCATGAAAGGCGGATCTATCAACGAAGCCGGCGTAAAGGCGATGACGGCGATAAAATGAAACATCTTCCGCCGGGCCGCTTTCCGAAGGCCCGAAGTAAAAAGTTCAACAAAGACCAAAGCCAAAGGGATCCCCGTAACCCACCCTAAAATCATAAACAAACGAAATGGGCTCGACACGATATACGCGTAAAGCCAAAACAGGGCGTTTTCTTGAAATTGATAGCTAATCGCGGCGCACACTACCACGCCGACCAGAGTGCAGGAGATCCAAAAGATCGTGGTGATGCAGCGCCGACTTATGCGCCACTCGGAGGACTTGGAATACCGGCTTACCGGCACCCTCCACAGCTGCGAAAAGAGCTTCATACACACAATCGTGTAAATCGCACTCAGGATCATCCCCCGCCCGGCGACGTGGGTGTAGGAGGTTAAATAACCCGGCGCGTTGAGATCCGAAATCAAACTTCGCCCGCCGTCCGCGGAGAGGTTGTTGTTCACGCACGTATCGCAGATATAAAACCCGGTAATCGAGCTCACCAGGACCGCCTCGTTCTCCCCAAGGTGAGGCCGCAGGCGGAGGAAAAACACATGCCCAGCCGCCACGTAGGCCACAACGCCTAAGGAAAAGACCTTATCCTGCACGATAAAATACACCGCGGCGACGCCGACGAGAGTAAAAAGCAGAATTTTAAACACCAAATGCGAATAGGAGGAGGAATTTACGCGAACCAACCCACTACAGGCCGCCAGTGAGAAGTAGGAAAGCAGCGCGGATGCGTAAAAGTGCAGGAAGGAGTGCTCGATCTTCATCTGATGCTCTAAACACCGCTCCGAGAGAAAGACCAGCGGCATCAACATGCGGCTCTCCCCATGCTCCGAGGTCAGCGCGAGGGAGGAGAGCAGGATGATGGTGAAGCCCGGAAAAACATACCCGCAGCCCCACGAGATGTAGGCCAGGAGGAGCACCCACCCCAACAACAACGTCGACGAGTAGGAAATTTCCAACGGGGCGGGCTTTCGGGCCTCGCGCGGGGCCCCGGAGGGCGCCCCGAACGGAATCCCCGGACAAGAATTCGAAAAGCGATTCCGAGCCTGCATCCGGAGCTCGTGAGCCATCACGGCCCCTCGCGAGGTCGACTGAAAAGAATACGTATGAAAGAAGAAGAAAGGGGAGGGGTTCACCAGAGGAACCCCAAGAAATAAGAAAAACGGAATACCCCCACTCACGCGGATGCCGTCTCTGTTAAACTTTGCTACAGATTGGTGGCCTTTGAATCTAACGCCTTCCTGTAAGGTAGTTTCCCTCTATACCGACTGACGTGACGGGTTCCCATACCAAAGACGATACGGGAGCGCATGAAAGAAGCAGAAGAATAAATCACAATGAAGGCAAAAGACGAATCCAGCATTCGCGTTAATAAGCGAAGGGGTTGAAAATGCACCCTTTTCATAGTTACGTCATTAAAAAAAAAAATGGATTTTTTTATTACGTGTTTAAGAAATGAATACTCAAAACCATATTGCTGAATTGATAGGGGTTTGATTTAACAACCATGCACAATTGAGTATAAAAATAAGTTAGGCCTACAGACGACAGGAAAAGCCGAAACAATCATGGTGGATATAATATTGATATGATACAGCAAAGTTCTTGGGTGAATCGTTGGATAGTGGCATTTTTTCCCTTGTTAATGAATGGTTTTCTTTCACATGTTGGGGAGTCTGTATCATTCAATACATTCCTGCTATTTACGCCAGTGAAAGAAGGATAGCTGCCTTTTTAGGTTTTCATTTTTTTGCAGAAGCGGCAATAGAATCCGCTACGTTCTCTAAATGTTGTAGAGACTGTCGTAAAGCGAACTCCTTATACTCCGAACAAAGCGACTCGCCGCCCGTATTCAAAAGTTGTTGATCAATCAAATCCTGAACGTGGTTAGTAATTTTCTGACGAAGTTCCACAACGGCAGGGAGATCCTTGTTTCCATAGAGATCCTTTTTATCGTAATCCGACAAATCGAAGCGGCGGTAAAACACATTCACGGATAAGCAGTAAGGGGGGGCCTCCTCGGACTCCTCGACGAGGCTTGTGATGTTGTGATACCAGTTGGCTGGGAAGTATAGCAAATCGCCGGGCTCTAAAATCACTTCCAGCGCATGCTTGCAGGCGTCGATAAATCGAGGGTACTGTATTAAATTCGGCGTGTCGATATTTAATACGGGGGAAGAACTTCCATTGATGTAAAGATTCCCATATTGGCTAGGAGGAAAAAACACAACGCGCTTTCGGCCAACGATTTGAACGAGAACGTTCTCCATGGCATCGTAATGGGTCCATAACTGCAGGGGTGCGGCGTTAATACGCAGGCAGGATTGATGCATTCGGGGGGTAACATATTCCCGAACTCCGTCTGGAAGACAAAAATCCTTCCCAAGCTCCTTAAAGTCCTCCCAAATGTTCGCCCTTTCACTCTTCATGTGAGTTGCGATAGAGCGAAAATACCAACATTCCTCGGAAAGCTTCTTATGGGTTCGATAATAGGAAGTCGAGTCCTGCATGTGTTGGATAAAATCTTGAAAAGGGACATGTCTAAAGGAGAAATTTTTACGAACAAAATCTAACAAATTGGAGCCTTTCGCAACATGCACGGAGACAACGGAATCCTTTGTAGCATCTTTCAGATAATTCGGATCGGCCCATTTTGCCACGCAGGAGCCTAACGAAGTGCCGCGGATCAACGTCGGCCGCTGGCACTCCCGCATCGCCTGCAAAAAATGTTCAACCGCAAAGGCTCCTTTCGCCTCATCCACCGCCGGTCGAGGAAGGGAGAGCAACGAGGTTAACCACAAATTAGCGTTTTTTTGATCGAATTCCCTAAGGTCACCCTTATTCCCTGTGGTGGCGAACGCCAAAGCCGGAGTGGATTCGCAGCCTGCGAGAGCGGTCTGCGCAGGAAGCGGATCCACCACATCTCCAATCTCGAGTAAAACCGGTTTGGCGATGAACGTTCCGAAGGAAAAGCAGGTAAACCCCCCTCCGATAATCGCCAATCGCCCTTTGCCGAGGGCCACACAACAATGCCGAGCCCAAGTTGGGCACGTCGGGGGAAGTCGAAGCGCCCGCGCCGTCGTCGTCCGCGGATTCCACAGAAAAGCGAGGGGAAGTCGCTCCCGCGGGGTCGATCCGCACCCCCCGAGGACCAACACCTCCTCCACTCCATCCACCCACACCCTCGTCATCGTATGCGAGAAACGCGCCCCCCATTCCCCTTCCGTCAACGTTATTTCGCCCGCCGTGCAGGTGGGGTCGCAAAGGTTAATCCTCCAGACCAAAGAATTGCAGGTCCCGTCCGCTTTGAGGCCTCCGGCGAGGAAGACCTCTCCTTCCGCAAGGCCGCGGACGGCGGCGGCGGCGGCCATGGCCGGCGGCCCCGCGGAAGGGGAAAACCGCCGCTCCGTCCAGTCGACCCGGCGGGCGGGAAAATCAATTCGCGCGATCCAAAGATCGTTCAAAAACTCCCCGCGCGCATTCCGCCCGCCGAAGATGCAAACCTCGGATTCGGAA